GAGAGAGAGAGAGAGAGTTAAATGCAACAGAAAAGCAGCACCAAGTTTTGCTAACTTCTACATAATTCAAAAGATCTTTCAAATGTTTATTTCCTATCATTCTGATGCAGGACAAACGATTCATATTTTTAATTTTTATTCAATTTCAAATTCTGTAAATTTTAATTTGAGTTTTAGAGTTTACTTTTAGGGTTTTAAGTATTTTGGGATTATTGGGATTTTTTATATTGTATTTATTAATCACTGGTTACTATTCCTAAGTACTATTGATATTGTTAATGGGTTATTGTTCATAGGGAGGCAAAATTATCATTACAAATTTTGTGTTTTAAGTTAAGACTTTTTTTATTATTTAAATTATTGTATGGACATTTAATGTTTTTCAACATTAAACTATAATACATAAGATGTGTAGGGGGCCTTGAGGGAGTAACCATATGATTTTCACAATCGAAAGAGAAAAAAAAAAACTTAACTTTTGAAGCCCTAGCTAGGTTAGTAAAAAAAAAATCGCAGGTTTCTCCTAGTAATTACTTGTGTATGGGCTAAATTATTATTGTTTTTTCTGTTTTCTCAATTTTCCCTACATCAAGTGGCATTAGAGCTCAAGGTTTCTTCAACAATGAAGCCAGGAAACTACAACCAAGTCTAGTGTTTGTTTATTTTGGGCCAATTTTTGCCAAATCAGTGTAGATTTTGCTGTTTTCAGCAAGGTTTTGTTGATTATCTGCCTAGGGTTTGTGATTTTGGAGAACCCATAACAGCAAGAAGGGATCATGGAAGGGAGGTTTCTTCATATCCATTTTGTGGTCCCAGAGATGAACAAATTGACGAACTTAAAAGGCAACTTCAGCAATTGGCGCAACAGTTTGAGAGCATCGTTCATGGGCAAGACAGTGATCTTTCCACCTAAGAAGATGTCAAGTACCACCCTTCGTGAATGGTCGAGTGAAGAGAAAAGTAATAGAAGACCTAAACATGGGGAACATCACTCTAGGATTTTCGGTTTGGAGGATATTCTTGATCTTAACGTAGGTTTTATCCAATAGATTGTAGTTAGGCATCTGCGACCAATATTCGATACATACATAAATTAATAACAAGATCTTGTAGGAGATTCGACCAATGATGAGAAAACAAGATTTCATAGTTAAACCAATCTTTGACATAAAATATGATGGACACCAAGGAGAATTAATAGGTAACGTTGTTAGCTCAATCATCAAATTCAACACTCATCTTGAAGATGCACCAGCGGTATGGTCTAAGGCTGAGCCTAGGCAAATTCAGCGGAGTTCTATGATTGAACTAATGCAATTCAAGCAAACTGCTAAATAGAATATGTTGACATAAAAGACCCTTTCCCTGAGAGTCTCTCAAAAGTGTTTATGAATATATCAATTGATTATTTTAAAGCCCACGTCCCAATGCATAACTAGTCCACTTTAATTGGGCCAATAAACCACAAGTCCAAAGATTAGAGCATAATGTTTAGGCTGAAAACGTTTATAGAACTAAGGCGAAATTCATCTTAGCCCACTTCAAAACTCGAGTTTTTTTGATGCAGGACAAAATAATTCTTATTCAATTTCAAATGATGTATATATTAATTTTACTTTTTAAGGTTTATTTTTAGGATTTTTAAGTTTTTTAATGATTCTAGGATTTTTTACATTTGTTAATTACTATTCACTAGTTACAATTCATAGGTACTATTCACAAGCACTGTTCATGGGTTATTGTTCAGTGAGGTAAAATTGTTATTATAAATTTTGTGTTTAAGTTATGACTTTTTGGGTCAGTTTAATTAGGGTGCGGCTTGTATAGAGCCAAGGCTCTAAACAATCAAAGTAATGCGCATCTTCAAATCATGTCAAGAAATGTGGTTTGAGTCATCACTAGAAATCTTTGTGATAGCCTTAAAATGTATTTTCATCTTTAATTATAAAATCTAAAGCTTAGAAAATAGTGTACATCGTGCAGATCTATGAAAACTTGAAAATCTTGAAAATTGACGGTCCAAAAATGCGTTACAAGATGCACTATTTCCAAAACTTGAAATGCATTTTTTTCTCATGTCCATGCATCTTGATGTTGGGACGATCAATTTGAGGATATTTGGGTATCAAAACAACCTCTTCTAGCAAAATTTTTGAGGTGGAGTCTAATTTGATTGTTTAAAGCCCCGACTCTAGATAAACTTTTTCCTTTTAATTATTGTATGAACATTTAATGTCCTTTGAACATTAAATTATTATATGTAGGAGGTGTGTGGAACCTCGAGGCATTCCATGTAATTTCAAATTTGAAAGAGAAAGAAAAGCTTAGGCTTTTAGAACCCTAAGTGGGTTAGGGAAAAAAACCCTAGGTTTCTCATAGTAATTGCTTGTGTATGGCCAGAATTGTTGTTTTTTTTTTTTCATTTTCTCAAATTTCCCTACATCCCTTTTACTTTATCATTATCAAACAAATATTTAATTTAAATTTAGCTAGTTAATAATTTTTTATGCACAATTAAGGTGCAGGGAAAATCAACTACGAAAGTGGTCCATTGCTCCCCTAGAATTATATAGCTGCCAAGCTCTATAAAATGCTATTCTACTATGCACCTCCCTAATGCACGAACTTAGAACAATGTTATCTCTATGTTGTACAACATTTGTGAAAAGGGCATTCTTATTCTTTGGCAAAAGCAATCAAAAAATTAGGAGACATCTTTATAGGCATGATCAATGTTTACAGGTTAAATGCCAAGCTTAGCTGTACAAGATTATTTCATCATTGCCCCTAGACAAATGATGGAAATGCCCACAGCTAAAAATGGCTAAGAACACAGATTTATGATGTTCTTGTCCAAAAGTTGGGAGCACAAGTACCAGTCAATCCTCCTCACGTCATCATTTTCTATATTGAACCGATTAGACATGAGTTAACTGCATTTGATTCAAGTAATATAAAAAACTTGACCAATCATAAAATTTGAGTTTATTTTAGTAAACAAGCTCATATGACTCCCAGATCATCTTGTAGAAAACAAGAAAAAAGGACCAAACTTAACACATGCAATCTCAGATTTTTGTTATTGAGAAAACGAGAAAAACTGAAATTAGTTTCATACGAGAAATTCAAGTTACCAGAAACATCCCATCTTGGGTTTTTTTATTGCACAAAGAGAACTGAAACTAAACAGCTAATATGCCTAATATTTGAATAAGAAACGCAAAGAATAACAAGCTATTCTCAAATTGACATCATTCCATAGCATCTAATTGAAATCACTCAGAGAAGCTGCAGATATGACTGTTGCTAACTGAAATTAAATAGTCACGGCCAATTTGCAAGCAAGGTTAATCTGAGTGCTATAAAACTGTATTTGGCAATTTTTTAATGGTTAAAACATGGGACAGCACAGAAAGCATTGCAAAGAAATGCATAGGATAATTTTTCCTCATGGTAGTACAAGAAGTATTCACAAACAAAATCCTGTGTTGTTTTGCTAGTGAGCCACAACAATGAGATTACTAGAAAAACAGAACACAAGGAACACAACCTACTTCACGTTTGTTTTCAAAAGTGAGCATATTATTTTGGCTTGGAAGGACTTTGTTGGAGACTGTGTTTCCACACATTTCAGAACCTTTGACCATTTGACTAGAAGCATTATGCATTTCTTCAATATTTAAGATCCTGAATTCCATGTTATCATATTCAGAATTGTTACTTCTAGATATTTTAGAACAAGGCCTTCTTTCGAGATGGGAGGAGGTATTTACACTGGAAAAATATGTGGGGAAAGTAGATATTCCCTGTTAAACAAAAATGTTTCATCTCTTCGAAGACTCTCTTAGAACCAAATTAAGTATCGAGCACATATGTACTCAGAAGTTTTTTCAATTTACTATAGCAATCCATTACCCTAGTTTTAAGCAGAAGAGTAAGTGAAGAACTACTTTTTTCTGGAAAAACAATATAATGATGAAGGATTCTATGTTAATATCTCATTTGAAAAAGCCACAAAATAACACTGCAGAGCAACATGCAGGGCATAAGGCTCTTTGATAAAGAGGTACCGCAAAATTTTATGCCCATGTCATCAGAATTACCTGAGCAGGCTCTGTTGACACATCCTTCTTTTGCTCTGCCACAGCTGGATAACCAATTTATTTGTCAATAATAAACATCATGGAAAGAAATGAAATTTTGAATGAACACACCCAATTTCTTACACTAAAAACCATAGTTGCAATTACATAATACCAACCTTCATCAGAAGTCACACCAACATGAATGGGATGAATATCCATCTTTTCTCGAGGATGACCCCTTTCATCATCATTATCAAATTCGTCATCAGAAAGAACCAAACGAATTCGCTTACGTCCCAGTAGTTGTTGGTTATCTCCTGAGAAACCTTCCATTGAATCACCACAAATTGGAGATTTTTCTCGACAGCAACCCACTTGTGACTTTTGTGACCAAGATGATTTCTTACAGGACTGAATAAATGAGGCCAAAGGGAGGTCATCTCTGACTCCTATAGTATTTATTGGATCTACTGGCATTGATGTAGATGGTTCTTCAATTATATTCAGTGAACCATGTGCATCTGATTCGGTGTCTGAAAAATACTGTTCTCCTGTAGCAGATTCAGAGCAACAATCGTCCTCCAAATGTTTTCCTCCAATTTTTTCATTCTGGGAAATCTTCAAATTCTCAATAGTTTGTTGCAACTCCCTGCAAAGCTGCTATCTTAGTAGCAGTAATCATCCAATTTAAACGTGGAAACCATGCCATTTTATTTTTATAAAAAGAAACCAAATTCATTTATTTATGACTGCTAACCTTGCCTTTTCAACATTGTCAAATCTCAGCATATGGCTATAATGCATATTTTCAAGTGCTGTAATCTGTACGGAAATTAAGTTGCTTTCAACAGCAAACCTGCAGGAGCAAGTAGGTTTATGTAAGAGGCGATTAAAAGATTCACAAAAGCCCGTCAGGTTAAAATATCATAGGAGACATCGATCAAAATGAGAATTAAAACAATATAACACTGTTAATGTTTTCATAAATCAGACAGAGAGTAAGTTTTAGCATGGAAAAGATGTCTAGGATTTACTTGTAGCCGTCTTCATATGAATTGAGTGCTCCAGCCCAGTCACCAGCAGAATCCAAAACGATGCCAATATTAACTTTGGCCAGCCCTTGGCCCTGAAACCATTAAAGCTCTCAGCTTAAGTTTTTAAGAAAGGCAGGCTTCTAGTTATAGTTCAGTAACTTATAAACTTCATCAGTGAGGATAGTTATGTGGGGCTAGATAGACGTCCAAATACCCACCTATAGATAGAAAGATTGATAGAACAACCAATAGTTGGTTTCTTAGCAGAAATCAAAAATTCCTAGGACACTAAAGTTCTAGACTCAAAACCCATCCAATAAATGAAAGAATCAGATAATTGCTCACCCCCAGGTTGTCAATTGACTTGTATACATTCCAGCTCTTCTTGTACCATTTATGGGCCTTGTCAAAATTTCGAAGATTTTGATATGCCTCTCCGATGACGAGAAATGCATCTCCCAGCTTTTCCTTGTCACCGAGCTCACTTGCCACTTTCTTCTTCTTTTTTGCAAATTCACGGTGCTACAACCCCAGAGACATATATATCACGAACCCCAACAGGTGGGAAACGTATAGAAACAGTCCAAAAGGAGTACCAATTATTTTGGGTTCAGCTCTTGGATTTGTGGCTAGGGCATAAAGGCCAGAGCACTAACATCCAAGATTCGAATCCCAGTTCCTAATCCCAAAGGAAAAAGACTTATTCCAATACGAATGATCTGGTAAGGATGCCAGGTTATTCAAGCAATATTAACAAATATCCATTAAAAAAACAGATGTACGCTTCTATTGGACATTCGCATATTTTAGTCATAAAAATTTGCAGTCACTTGACCTCAGACTTTGGTGTGCTTGGTGCAGAATTAAATAAAAGTTTAATAATTCAGAAAACAAAGAATACCAGTGATCCACATCTATGTTTTAGGACACATTCAATCCAAACCCCATATTGTCAATATTTCCCCAGACAATTTCCAAAAATGTTGCAGAATCCATTTTCCAACATTTGTTCCATCAGTCTAAGAATAACCACAATGAGCCCCATTTATCTTTAGGAGTTTCACACAAAAGAAAGCATGATTTAAGACAACAAAGGGACTATCAAAAATTATAAAAAAAAAATAACTTACTTTAGGCCAAGCACGAATCATGCTGGACTTATCAATCAGTAGGTCGAGCAATACATTCTGCTTTAATAGATATCCCCTCTCATCTGGGGTGCCCCTAACTTTTATTGTGCCCCTTTCCAATTTTTTGAGCTTCTGCTCTTCTTTCGTTAATTCTTCAAGCACCCCTCGAGCTTCCTTCACAGTCTTTAAATTTTGATTAATCTGCTCAACCAATGCATCTTCATCTTCCATAGAACGAGCAATTTTGAGAGCTTTTTGATAACAACTCATTGCTTCATCATATTCTAGCAATCTCCAATGCAATTCACCAAGATTGATAAACCCTTTTGCCTCTCCTTGTAAATGGCTAATCTTGTTACAAATAAAGATATCACGCTCAATGTGTTCTTTGGCTTTATTCCAAATCCTCAGCTCCATATATACATTTCCCAAATTGTTATGAAGCCTACTACGTGCATCATCATTCACAGGCACCTCTTCATCATTGCAAATTTTTAAACCCTCCAAAAGAATTTTCCTAGCTTCTTCATAGTTATCAAGATCCATCTCAAGCATGCCAAGGTTATTATGAGCATCGATGAACTCCTTGAGAAATGATGAAGATTTATGATTTCTGGAATTTCCCTTGAGTTCACGAGCAAGTTCCATGGCCATTTTGAAATACTTTTTCGAGTTCCGAAGAGCACGGTGATCACTTTCTGACGTGTTAAATATTTCATAGTAAGTTCGACCAAGCTGTGTGGTTGCCCGTTGTTGCTCGATAAGGTCCCTGGCATCTTTGGCATACTCCAAGTGTTTTTTCTGCAATATTGTTGAACGAAAAGGAATCTCAGATTTACAAATGCTGGGCTCTTTGTAGAATAGTTGCTAATTGGTACAGACGTAATTCAAGCATATAAAAGATACCAAAATTTGACATAAGAAACCAATAGTTGGGACTTAGGAGTGGATTTAATATCATAAAGTTATAAAGCACACAAAAATAAATACATAAATAAATAAAAATACCACTTGAAGTAAGAAAATAACATAGGATAACAAAAGATAACATAAATAACATTATAGGTTAGTTTTAGTATAGTATTCGTATTCAGATTTTGGGACGGAAGAATTTGGCTCGACCAATTCAATTATTTCGAAATATTTCACTGATTACCCACAGAAAAAGGAATAAGGCATAAGAGATTTCTAAAGAATACTGATAATGAAAAATAGGTGGCGAAACGACAGATAAATTAGATAGTTATTTTATTAGAGATCCAATCGTTCGGTCATCAAGGAACAAAAACAAAGGAGAGGTTAAAAAGAAAGCGATGTTGATTGACAAAATAAGAAGAATTTATGGGATATGATCCATCAATATCTAAGGTTTCAATTTGAAATCTTGGTCCTAGTCCAAAAAACATTCTGTACTCTGAACCGTTCTGCTCCGATATGATGAATACATACTTATTTTTCAACTATAAAATGAAATACAACACCCAATTACCCTAACAATCATTTTAGTGCCTTGTGATGTTCAAGTCAGTCTCAGGATTTGTTTCATTTTCCAGTACTCTATTATTTTGGCATTTGTTTCATTTTATTCCATTATTTCAGATGTACCCACAATTTGCTTAGTAATCATTTTATTTTACAAAACATAAATTGCATTAGAACAAAGGTACATAAATGGAAAACATTCCCTGTAGTGAGCTTTCCGTCTAACGTTTGAAGTGAGATCTCAAATAAGCACTCAAAACCTTTCGAGATACAGATGAATAAGGTCATTTGAGGAGAAATAACAATAATAAGAACCATATGAACTCTTTCTTTGACAAATCTTCCCCGTTTCATACCAATACATTAAAGACCAAATTAATCAGAAGAAACAGTACGCTAACTAAGATCCAACAGAAGCACAAAAACCACACCAATCCAGACGAAACAAAGACATAGAAACAAAACAAAAGAAAGACAGAACCCGTGAATAAATATTCATGAAACAACGCAATTCAAAACCCAATTTCCATAGAAATCCTAGCTAATTATTCTACTATATATATAAATCTACCATTCAAAGGGTAAAAAGAAAACACATGGCTATATTCGCAAAAATCAAAACCAAAGTGAATAAGTGCCTGGTAAATTAGGGCTTCTTCGAAATCTTGCAATCTCAAGTAGACTTCACCAAGGGACTGGCAAGTGGGTAACAGGTGCTTCTCTGGTAAGTGTTTTACTGAGACCTCATAGTCTTTTCGCAACCATTTCAAGGCCTCGACATATTCACCTCTCCTCTTATAAATGTCACCGATCACATTGGCCCATCGAGCTTCCTCGTGGTGATTACCAGTCTTAGAGGCCTCATTGAATGCATTTTTTGCCGATCTTAGTTCTGTGTCATCTCGAGGCATTTTGTGTTGCGACCAATTCGACGAGCTGATTACTGAAGATGGTCGAATTAGGGCTCTTCAAGAGAGAACTAGAGAGAGAGAAAGAGAGACTGGATTAAAGCAACAGATGAGCTAGCAATGGAGGATGGTGGAATTAGGGTTTTAGGGGGAGATTATAGAGAGCAAATCGCCGTTTAATAGGCGATTTTTTTCAAAAAGTCGGCGGTTTTATGGAAACAGTTTTAAACCGCGACTTTTTTAAAAGGTAGGCAAAAAATAGCGTCATTTTAGTAAAACCGTTTAAAACGCGCTTTTTTCATAATACGATTTAAATCAGGCAAAAAATCGGAAATTTTTTTTTTTTCCTGTTTTGTGTATTGCAGCCATTGCTACTTTCATGCTTTTCAAAAAAATTATTATTTCAAAAAAAAAAACCTAAAATAGAAACTTTTATCCCCACTGTGTTCTTCAAAGCCACAGTTGCAGATTGATGGTATGAATTTTTTTTTACAACTTAAACAAATAGATGCAGATTTCAGTTGTTATTCTGGAAATTTATTGTGTAAATGAAATACTGTTTATAGCAAATCATTTTGTAAAGTAAATCATTGTGTGAAGAAATCATATGCACGCAGATTTCTGTGATTATTTGTGATAATTGTTTTTATGAAAATACTGTTTAAGGCACAAATTAGAGCTCAAAACATAGTCTTTTACTGATGAATGAGTAGAACTACAGGACCAAATAATCAATAATTTGTTTTTGATTGTGTAAACCGTATACTTACAGGAGCATGCATTTGTACATATAGGATTAGTTCCCCAAACTTAATCCTTCAGGTCAGCTTGTTGTTTCCCCGAGAAAATGAAAAACCCTCCTCAAACTATCCTGTTTCCCCAAGAAAATGCAAAAACCATCTTCAAACTATCCCAAATCAGAGAGAAAACCATCTTCAAATAATCCCAAATCAGCATCCCATCTTCCTTTTCTCTCTCTAAAAATCAGTTAGGGCCTCTGCCATTAGCGTTCTTCCTTTTCTCTCTCTAAAAACCAGGGCCTCCTCCATTAGGGTTCTTCCTTTTCTCTCTCTAAAACTCAGGGCCTCTACCATTAGGGTTTGCGAATACCATGAACTCTTTCTTCTTCCTTCTTCTTCTCTCTATAAACCCTAATGGCTATGGCCCAGCCCTATTTTCTTCTGTTTCTTCTTGTTCCTTTTCTTTCTTCCTTCTTCTCTCTAAACCGTAAACACAGATGTGAACCCAAATTTCTACGAGCCTTCTCCTCTCTAAACCGTAAACACAAATCTGAAACCCAAATTTCCACGAGCCTCTTTTCGTTTAAAGAAATTTATAAAACTTTAACCATAGTTTTATGGAGTGACCATTGTCACCATACCATAATTAAATGATTGTAATGAGAAAACAAAAAGCGTATCATTTTTTTTTTAGTACATGCTAAATCGGTGTGATGTTTAAATATTTAATGGATAAATTTACATAGTAAACGTGTGACTATACCATAGTTTAAACTTAAAAGTATTTTAATGAATAAATTTATATAGTATATTTGTTTTTTATATAATAGGTACGTGTGATGTTTTTTAAAGTATTTAACGGGTAAATTTATGGGAAAGCTTTTTATGTTCTTTTTACAACATGGAAGTTTTATCCTCCCCCTATCATCCAGCCGTCTATTTTTTATCAAGAGAGTTATTCACCGTTTGATCTTAAATCCGACGTCCCAAATTATTTTATTTTTAATCTTTTTAATACAAATTTTTTGAATATGAAATTTGATAGGTACCATCTTCTCATTGAGGCGCACCGATAAAAAGTATTAACAATAATTTTTGTAATAAAAAGTAATGACCAAAATACCCCTTAAAATTTTCAAGGGTATTTTGGTCATTACATTTTATTGAAAATATTTTTCGTTAGTACCAGTTTAATAGAGGAATGGACGTCCATAATTTAGTGTCAAAATAGTTTATAAAAAAAATTTAAAAATAAAACAGTGTAAAGACATGACATTGTGATTGGAGCAATCTAAACCCTCCATTCAAAAATGGACGGTTGGACAAGGGGGAGGATAGAACTTCTATGTTGTAAGGGGAACATATAAAGCTTTCCCTAAATTTATATGGTACATTTTTTTTGGTATATACTAGTTAATTATGTATTTAATATTGGATGATTGAATGAGAGTCACAATGTATCTAAATTAATTGACTTAATTATATTAGTCGAGTAAAGTTTTTATAGATGAATTAGTAATTGATGGCTTTGACATAATTTTTATTTTTTAAAATTTTTAATATTATAAATTTATCCTACTTTTTTAGCCTAATCCGATATATTAGCTATATTTTTATATGAAGTATTTTTGCCGATCTATATTTTTTATCTGATTTTTTAAAATAAAAACTATTTGTTTCCGATTTTATGGTGAGCCAATTATTGATAGTCATCGATTTGCTAACTATGGGGGAGAGAGAGAGAGGAATTGTTTGGCGGTGGCAGGGAAGTGATGAGGCTAATTGGAATTTCCGACTTGAAAAGTGGATTCCCGCCAAATGTTTTGGTTTTAAACTTCTAGAAACATAGCGGTGAAAAGAAAACCACTTGCTTATGGATCCCCTTTTTCTTGGCATTTAAAAATACATCAAATCTTTTTAATTTTACTATGAATGAAGTCTCTCTTTGTTAGTTTTTTTTTTTTAAGAAAATGTATATAATGAGACCATATACGTTAGTATAAGGTGGATACAATTAATCACCATTTCATGTGAAATTGGGCCGCTACATTTCTTTTATGGGAAAATATCTCTATATCCCATATTTTTAAGTTTTATTTCTTAATAAACCCAATGTTTCAAAAGATAACTTCTAACCCCCTTACCACTTTAAACCTATTTTTTAACCTAAACAAATGTGAGCAATACGTGCTCTTTCTAAACTTCTATCTTTTTCTCTCTTCCTACTTCTCTCACTCTCTCTCTCCTCCGGTGTTTCTCCAAACGCCTCTTTCTCTCCTCTCGGTAACCTCTCACCTCCATGAAGCCCTTCCCTCTCTCCAGAAGTTTGGGACGATGGCTTCTAGAAAAGGCATATCTTTAAAAATTTGTTTGGCCTAAAAACCCAGGTTTAAATTAGTACAGGGGTTAAAAGAAATCAAATCTATAATTTTTATGCCCCAATATATCTATTAAAATATTGGGTTTATTGTGAAATGAAACCTAATAATAAGGGGTATGGAGATATTTTCCTTTCTTTTATTAACCAAACTCAAAGCTCAAAATAAATTTTCTTGAACTTTGTGACACACTGAAGCTATTAGATTTCACATTGTATAGTTATAAGTAATTGTAACCTCCTTGTACTATAAGTTTATATACAATCTTTTTTTTTTAATAAAAAAAATTATATGAGATTGCATTATTAAATTTTGTTTATGAATGTTAATAGCTTATATTAGATAAATACTTAAAAAGCGTGAAGTTACAAAGAAGGTATCAAAGCACTAGAAATAGCAAAGTAGGAATATGAACTCCATGCTTACCAGGACCATATGTTGTATCATTAGTCTCATGATAGGTATGCAGAAGGAAACTCACAAACTTGGTGAAGCGCAAAGATTATGTATTTTAACCCAGCAAATGTGTAAGGTTCAAGGGATCCTCTACTCATGCTTGAGCCATTTAACAACATTCAAAGAGTCTCCTTCAATAATAATATATCCTGAGATGCCCCTATCATCAGTGATTTCCCAACCTTGTAGAAAGGAACACATTTCAGCTTGATTAGCCATGGTGGTGCCCATTGAAAAAAGTTGTTTTGATGTTGAAAAATCTTCCAATTAATCATTTCGACATCAAGATGTATGGATATGAAAAAGAAAAATATTTCGGGTCTCAAAAATAATGCATCTTGCAACACATTATCTCGACCGTCCATTTTCAAAATTTTCATGTATTTATAGATCTGCTTGATTATATCTATTTTTAGATTTTAAATTTTTTATTACATATGAAAATAGATTATTAAGCCATCCTAAGAATGTTTTACACTAAAAATTACATGTTTATGATAAACTTTGGAGATACGCCTTATTTTGTTTATTTAATGTTGCAACCTTATACAAACATTGCCAAAATTATCCCTAGTTCAACCTTAAACCATTTTATATTTGTTGTTGAGATAAACCTTTCAAGGGTCCAACTTGCTTCTTCTGGAAAATTCAAAACCCAGTTTGACCCTTCAAGAGTTGAACACTCCTTATGGCTAGCTTGAGTTCAACCAAGGAACAAACTCACTTAAGTTCGACTCTTAAAGGGTCAAACGTTTTTCAAGTTCGATCCTTGAGCTAGCCCCAAATTCATTATTTTTGGGCAAATGCATGAAGTGGAAAAAAAGGTTGGCGCGGTCTTGTCATGAGAACAAAATCCAAATTTTCAAAGGGTTTGTAAATTGTAAGTGATGCCCCATTTGCAAACCGATGTCCCTATTAGGGGTGGCAACGGGTCAGGTACAGGTCAAGTCCGGTTGGACCTGAACCTGGACCTGGACCTGGACCCGAATAGTATTTGGGTCCAAATTTTGGACACGTATACAGAATCATTGGGTCTCGAGTCTATACAGATCCATTGCCACCCTGCGATTATGAGCTTCCTTTTTTTTTGTCTTTTTTTTTACCAACGTATACCCTATGACTATGAGCTTCTTCTTTTTTTTGCCAATAATACTGTAAATGTTGCGAATACTGTGACAATATGAACACCTAAGGCGTGCTAGAAGACACATGATTGCCATCATATATTTATTACTACAGGTACAGGTTGAGTCTAGCTAACCTGAACTCAAACCCGAACAATATTTGAGTCCAAAATTGGGACTCATATCCTGACCCGAGGTCGAGTATACCTATCGGGTCCCTGGGTCTAGTCAGGTCCATTGCCACCCCTAGCCCCTACTATCACTAGACCAAATAAAAAAGCCTATGCATTAAATCGAACGAAACAAGGGTGGGTGGGCTTCTTTCGTTTCCTCAACAAACTTCGATCTCCTTTGGGGAAATGCCATGTCTTGCCACTAGATAAATGACAATAGCACAATCTCTATAAGTTCAACCCTGAAGGATTGAACTCAAGCAAAGGGAGGAAGGGGCATTGGGCTTGAGTGGTTAACAGTTGGCGTCAAACAACACTACATCTCAAGTTCGGTTCCTGCCACTGAGCTATCCAAGATTTATATACATATAAAGCAAAAGGGTCAAAATTAAGCAAGGTCTACCCTTTTCCAAACTTAAGCTGGGCCTAAGAGCTTCTTTTGAAAATTCCAAGAGGGTCAAACTAGAGCTGAATTTGAAAATTTTAAAAAATAGTGAAACTGGGAATTCAATGTAAAATTGAAAATATTAAGACCATTTTTAAATTTCCAAAAATAAAAGGATCCTCGTGACAATGCCCCCAAAGTACCATTGGGGAGCAAACATAGTGACACACTTTGGGTGTTAGAACGAAAAACTAGAATGAAGATTAAAATAAATTGAACTACAAAATGTGCTCCATACCTCCAAATAAACTTTTGATTTCTCATTAGATCTGCTTACAATCACTAAAACTTAAAGAAGACAATGTTTATACAAAGTTGTATTTCTCTTTCCAAATACCCATCTTAGAGATGGATTTAGGATCCTGTATACATCCTAGGTCACTCTAGATGTATTTCTGCTTTAGTTCAGCCCAAAATCTAGTTAGGATTAGTTTAAATAAAGAAAAAGTTTATATAAGGTTGCAACTTTGAAATGTATAATTAAAGATGCACCTCAAAAATTCATCAGAAAAAGTTGTTTTAATGCTGAAAAATCCTCTAATTGATCATCTCAACATCGAGATGTATAAATATGAAAAAAAAAAAAGATTTTGAGTCCCATAAATAGTGCATCTTGCAACACATTATCTAGACCGTCCATTTTCAAGATTTTCGTATATT